TAATAAAATGTTTAAAAAAAAAAAAAAAAAAAGGATTGTCTGTAAGAGGAGACCCATGAACTCACTGTATCTTTTTTTTTTAACTGAACGCTTGTTAGCTTTCATAATTAATAAAAAAGAAAAAGAAGTCGTCCATTAAGGCAAGACCCCACCTCAGACAAAAGACTGAGTTGGAGAAAAGAAGGAAGTGAGAACACCCATTTGTTGTCAAGTTTAGCTGACCACTGAGAACACTCATTCGGTGTCATGTTCGGCTGACCACTGAGAACACTCTTTTGTTGTCATGTTCGGCTGATCACACAGAGTCACGGGGGAGCATGAATCTCAGGGCTGCTGCTCATTGAGGAGCCCCACAAAAGACTTATGTAGACATTTCATAAAAGAAGACAGTAAGGCAAATACTATCAAAACCAGTGATACACCACTTGGCCCCCACTGGGATGGCTAGAATCAAAAAGAAATAACAAGTGTCAATGAGGTTAAGGAGAAGTGAAGTCTTGGTGTATTACTGATGGGGATATCAAATGGTGCAGCCATTTGAGAAAGAAGTAGGGCATTTTCTTTAAAAAGTTAAACATGAGGTAAGTGCACAACCTACCGATTCCATTCCTAGGTATCTCTACCTTAGATAAATGAAAAACTATGTGCACAGAAAGACACATGTGAATGTTCATAGCAGCATTATTCATAATAGTCAAAATGTAGACACAACCCAAATGCCCATCAACTGGAATGGATACACAAAATGTGGTACATCCATAGAATGAAATATTCCTCACCAATAAAGAGGAATAAAACAATGTGACACGTGGCAATAAAAATGAATAAAAAAAGTGACACACTTCCACATGAATGCACTTCAAAATAATGTGACACACTTCCACATGAATGCACTTCAAAATCATTATGCTAAGTGAGCAAAGCTGATGCAAAAGACTACACCAGGGTAAGCCAGAAAGTCTTGTTACAAAAGCATAGAAACCTTTATTAAACAAAAATGTGGAAATGTGAAACTGTTTACTGTTTCTTGACACGCCTTTCACCTAGGTCTATCCACTTCTGAAGCCAGTGTTTCATCTCTTCATCCCTTCCCCACAGAGTGCTTCCTTTCCCAATCTGCACCATGCCCAGAGAGCAGTTTGGGCACCCTTGAGGGACACAATCATTTTCAATATTCTTCACGTTCAAGAACAAAACAGTCTGAAGGGGAATGATTGGTCTGTAGAGTTGGTGGACTAAGGTTGCCCAACAAAATACTCAGAGGACAGTCTATACGACTCTTGGAAAATGAATAAGTGCATTGTATGGGGGGAAGATTCTTTGGCA